GAAGAAATGCAAGAGATTAGTGGAAAATACAGAAAGTCAGCTTTGTTCTGTCCTTGTGGTCTCGTCATCTGTTCGGACATTGAAAGAGGAGGATGACTACCGGGGAGGAGTATCGTTGAGAACATCATATATGACTGTGGACGATCTAACCATTTCTGCAACGAGAGTTTCTGCATTCCAAAGTTCTGATATGATGAATAGATTTTCATCTGAAGTTTACTAATCGTCTCATCTAAGTGGTCTTAATCTCAATCCACACAAGTGTCGCCAATGACCTTCCTGATTGCAGTAGACTGGATAATGCGACAGACAACGGGCGATGAGGAAACAGGCATAAAATGGAATCACACAAAAAGCTTGGAGGATTTGGACTTCACCGACGTGATATATATGTCTGATTTCCCACAAACTGGAAGATATGCAAGTGAAAAGCAACAAGTTGGCAGAAGAAGCATCAAAGATAGGACTTCAAGTGAACACTGATAAAACAGAGGTGATGAAGATACCTGGCCAACACCAACAGCCACAGCGACAACAACAGACAACAATCAGCCAGCATAAATGGGAGGAACCTGAAAGAAACAACCTCCTTCAATGACCTACCTGAGAAGCATCGATTCAAATACAGGCGGACGGAACTGATGAGGATATCAAGACAAGCTTTCATTACTCTCAAGTCTGCGTGGAGGAGGTCAACGGCACTCAGCATCAAGAACAAGATCCGGATTTTCAACTCCAATGTGAAGTGAGTCAGTGCTACTCACTATACGGATCAGAGACTTGGCGGATCATGAAGAGCATCTCAAACAAACTTCAGACATTCATTAACATCTGTCTTCGCTCAATACCACTGAAGATCAGATGGCTAGCGAGAAAAGATCAGCAACAAGGATCTCTGGCAATGAGCGAACCAACCAGGAACCTATTGCGAAACAAATAAGCAGGAAGAAATTGAGATGGATTGGCTGGCTATACTCTGAGGAAACCATCAAGTGACATCACTAGACAAGCCATTGCTCGAGTGGAACCCGAAAGAGAAGTGGGCGACGAGTTGGTCGTCAGTGCGAGGGTGGGGTGACTTGGAGGAGGTGATGTGAAGAGGAGATGAAAGCATGTGTGCAGACTTGGAGCGGGGGGAAAACGTTGGCAGAAATCCGAAGGCAATGGAGGTGCGCAGCTGAAGCCCTATTTTCCTCTAGGAATTAAAGGATATAATAATAATTGTTTATTTCAGTCTCAGATAAGTGACTGATTCAGTCACATGACTCCTGTAATACACACAACACTGTGTGATAGGGAGTATATCGAATATCTCTAATCTCTGAATCACTTTCTCTTCGAATCACTGTTGGTCGTCTCATATATCGTAGATTTATAACAAAATATTTTCGTTTGACTTATTACATAGGGATGTCGAGAATTTCTGTTGACACAAATCAATCTCTTCTCTTACAGTTGATTAATTCATGTATTCTGTCCACTCTTCTTTATTGTTCCTCACACGTATTCTTCCTTGGTCGACTTCTCAGGAAAGACTATGTTATTATCTATTACGTCGGAGATTGAAGTCTGTGAGTGAGTAGCGTTAGTGGTGTGTGTGTGAGTGCCTTCGACTCACCTGACTGACACTGTTGCAGTTGTGGATAGGCATTTTAATTCTTGTAAGCAGTTGGCGTCAGTGGCACAGTGTTTGGGACGCTCGCCAACCATGCACATGATCCGGGGTCCGATCTCCGGCCGACTCACTCCTTTACCTCACTAAGCCAGAAGTAATGCTGGTAAAGAGGAAAGGTTGGGCATGAGGCTGGCTAGCAACCTCATCCTGTAGAAGTAAAAACATTGTTACAGAAACTTCAAGCCTCTAGCTTGGAAGCCTATGTTCCAATGGGAACGTGAAGGAAAAAAAGCAGCTGGCTGAAGTCATCTTGTCTCACAACTAATTCATGTCCACTAATTCTAAACCATTTCCTTGTAGCTGTATGGAGTCGAAACCAGAATAAATTTCATGAGAATTTATGCTCGTACAGCTGTTAAATCTGAGAATCCAATCACACCGTATTTAGCGTGGGTTTGTGTGAAGAGAGGGAGAGAGAGAGAGAGAGATAGTGGAAGGAATGTCAGAAACGAGCTTATAAACTGTTTAAATGAGCAACTGAACTGGGAAGTGAATATAAGCAAAGATTATTATTATTACTACTACTACATGTATCATCTGTGATACTACCTTCTTGTAATTCATTATGCTTCCGCTAACCTTCCGTATTTTGTGGTTTTGCTAACATTATTATTATTATTATTATGAGATTCAAATGATGAAACACAAGTAGTAGTAGGGAACACGCTTTCTGGATTTCACTTTTCACCAAAATAATGAGTACGTACTGCAGTGAAGTAGCACAACATGATGGAATGACTTCAGAGGTGTTTAAGGACAATATTGACACATTGCTGTCTGGGTTAGCGAAGGTATTAGGCATTGCTTGGAATCAGAAGTAGGTCCGTTGGATTGATGTTAGTCACTGATTATCCATGTATACAAGAATGGATACAAGTCTTCCTGTCATAAACATAGAGGAATCAGCTTGACTATATTATGGTATCTACAGTTCTAGGCTGAATAATCATGTGTACATTGTAGTGTTAAGAACACTATATTCAGCGAAGAGACTCTTTTCAATAACGAATTTATTATCAAGCTGTACAATCGTATATATATGGTTTTATAAAGAAATTATATCCGGTGACGGAATTAGGTCAAATATGTAAATACATGAAATAATAATAGTATGAAATGCAATTAAAATATTTGTGATTATAATCATGGTTTTTTGTCAAGTGGCAAAATAATTAATGTCATATGTAGAATAATACATAAGGTGTATAGATTTTCGAAAGAGGTATATAATTATAAGATTAGTAGACGAATATAAAATGTTACATAACATGGTGTGAAATTTGATGAGGTAGAATTCAATATTGTAAAAATAAAAATATAAAAAAATTAATAATTTTGGGTTTAAAATGACAAGTGGGTCAAGTGGAAAAGATTCAGATTGAGAATGGTAATAATAATAAAAATAATCGTAGTAATAAGGGAAAACTACATAGAATTACCAAATAAACAAAATAAATAAATGTCTATCCCTCTACACTCAAGGCAGAAGTAGGGATTGTACGTACTTCTTTTGTAAACAATGGTGTGTCTGGCTTAAAGTCATGAATTGCCAAAGCCTCAGCTGTCTTTAGAAGTCTGTCACGAAGAAAACGCGGGAAGTTAGCATGGATTCTATATATGATCTTGAAATCATAGTCAGGTTTGACCAGTGACAGAAGTCGATCAGGTGTTCCAGAATAGAGCTTCGCACACACTTCCTTTCTCCCTTGTAAAACCAAGCTGGAATAAGTACTCGTATCCGTGTGGAAAGCGTCTTCTGAGTACAGCCAATGTACCTCGCTCCACAAGAGCAGGTGAACTGATAGATGAACATGGAGGCGACCAGACTGGGGAGCTTATCTTTTACAGAGGTAGAGAACAATTTGCGGCTCGTGAACGTCATATGTAATTTCACTGCAAAGAACGTCTTACTGACTGCTTTAGAGAGACGATTTTGAGCATATCTGAAGCTTGATCACTTTGAATTTCAAGTTCATGAATAAGGCATTCTTTGAATAGAAACAAATATGAGAAAACTAGATTGGTTTTATACCGGGAAGAGAATCTGTTGATCATATCTTTATCCTTAGACAGATTCTGGAATATAGGAACACTTACTGCTGTCCAACAGTTGCCGTATATTTTGACCTGAAGGCAGAATTCAACTCTATCGACTAAGAGACACTGTGGAGATGTTTGGTAGTGAAGGGAATACCGAGAAAGCACATTGCACTAATCAACATACTCTACTAGGAGTCAAGTAGCCCTGTAACAGCCTACGGAGATTTGTAATCTAAAGTGATGATAATTAGTGATGCCTGTCCGATATGCCCATTGTTCCAATTTCCATTTAGTTTTGTCATACATGTACTAATGGATTTAATACTAACTCACTTAATCTGCTTAGGGATTGACTCGGTACCAGGGAATAGTCTTGTTAACTTAGTATAACGGATGATATAGTCCTTCTAGGTGAAGAGGCTGAAAAAATTCGGAGTCTCCTGAACACTTTCAGCAGTAATCTTCGAACTTTTGGCATGTGATTCGCTATAGGACTGGACTGGACTATATCCCCTCTTAGCTGGGTTAAAGAATGTATGGAGTGAAGTGGTAAAATTAACCCCAGAGAGTTGATCGATGACGAAACCTCCTTCTACGGATACAAAATGCTCGTTTGACAAACGTGATTTCTGGATGGTTATTGATTAAAGGACGTGTGTACTGTTGAGAAGCAGTTCTCTCCACACTTCCTTATGGCTGAGAGTGAGACATGGATATTGAAAGTGGAAGACATGAATAGGCTGACTGACTGGTTAGCTGTCTTTGATCATAGGTGTTTGCATTGTCTCTCCCCTGTTAGGTGGTACTTGTAATAGGGTGAGGGATATCGAGGTTGAGCATATAGCGTTAGGTAAGGAGAGAAAGTCAGTGAATGAGGACTGAGCACTTCGGTCCAATCAATCGATGGAAGAAATCTCAAATTAAATTAATATAACCCGTTGCACAAGAAGTGGCTAGCCCTCGTGGCCCAAGTGGTCTAGTGGATAACGCCTTGCCGTTTGAAACTAAGGCACTGGATTCGATCCTCGGTGGGAACATCATCACTCACTGCGGAATGCAGGTTAATCCAGATGATGACTCCCAAATAGGACGAAATGCGCGTTATCCTGGATTCCACTGATAGTCACCATCCACCAGTTAAATACATGCAAGATTAATGAGGACATTCGATGTAAATAAGAATGTGAACTCAGTCAAATATTTGAAGTTATCTTTGTAATTGTGATACAACCATGCTACTGTCATCCTAATGTATCCCCTTTTTCTAAACTCTCTGTTCATTTAGCTAAGTAGAAATATTTCAACAAGTCATAAATCATTTAGTCGTCAACTGAAATCATTAAAGAATGTAGACAATCCAAATTTATCATCTCGTTGTTCAGAGGATGGATCTAATGTCAAAGAAGAGAATGAAGAGGGGGAAGAAGAAGACATAGAATATCAGGAAGACAGTGCTAATCGTAGTCATGATGACAGTATTGAAGATGACAGTGAGGATAATAATAATAATAACAACAACAACGGTGAAACAGTTGGAGATAACTCCTTTTTTCTCATGGAACAAGACAGCCTTTCACAGCACTACTCAACATCCGCCTTATCTAGCTTAGCTTCTTCAGATACTTTTGGCAGTTGTATATCTCCAACAATGCTAGCAGCTGCTGCTATGGCAGCACTAACCAGTGGATGTTTTCCAGGGCCTTGTAATATGTCGAATCAGTTCAATCCCCTGTTAGCCGCCACTAAGCCTTACGGATTTCCATCATATCCTTCAAATTTAAATTTACCCGCTAATTCACAACGCACACAATTAACAAAACAACAACAAACTACACCATTTACACATTCATCATTGAATAGAAATTCAAAAATGAGCCATAATATTAATAATTCAGTGTCACAACAATCGAATCTATCTACTACTAATACTATGAATTTGAGTAGTTTATCATCGCATTCTCCAATACATTCAGTACACAACAATAATAAATCTTTGCAGGATGATGTAATAGGTCGAGATTACAGTACCAATTTCTCCCATAATGATACTACTACTAATAATAGTAGCAGTATGAATTCAAATCCGACACCACCACCTCCCTTGTCTCGATCTAACAGTCCAACTCATCAATCCAATCGATTGATGACAACATCAAATGATCTAGCGTATATGTCAATGGATGATGGTGATGAGGAGAATGATGATGATATGGGAAGTGAAGAAATCGAGGAGGATATGGAGGCGGAAAATCCTAACCCCCAAAGTGGGAATCATCAATGGACATTTGAAGAGCAATTTAAACAAGTAAGTCAATTACACGCAATTTATGTTTTGTAATTCCTGAATATAAGGTGAAATGGTATAGTTGATGTATTTAGCGGAATGTTCATGTTGTTTATACGAGCCATAAGTAACTATGTACAGTTAAAGGTGTGGTCACAGGTTTATATCAGCCAGGAAGCCATTCAAAACTGTAAAACTGTTCCCTCCTAGTTTGGGACTCTTCAGGAGTACAAGCCTACCAGTCCATAACCTTTCGTTTACAAAGCGAGTTCGTAGGCTCAATACACTGACCAGCCCATGAATCTCAACTCCTACCTATTTGTGATATATATATATATATATATATATATATATATATATATATAACACAACCATCAGCCAATGTTATAGGCGAGTAACTTTTGTTTTATCAGACTTGATTTTTTTTTTATTTACAGCTTGATTCCACACTGTATTTTTGGTACAAGTATGGAATTTTCAGCATGGATATCGGTAGCCCAAATTTTGCAGGCCGACCATAGATATCAGGTGTGCGCCGGCGTGGGCTCGAACCCCGGACCATGTGCATGGTCGGCGAGAGTCCTAACCACTGTGCCACCGACGCACATGATGAATCCTGCCGATTACGAATTGCCACTAGAACTCCAGTTCACTTCCTGTATGCAACCAGTCATTACTGAGAATCAGATTAATTATCAGCCATTGGCTCCAGTGTTTCTCTGGATGGTGTCAACTCGTGGTCAAAATAGTAACCAATCAAATCCCTGCAGACAAACACTTGATAACTGTGTAGTGTTTGAAACGGTCAAAATGTTTTATACACATCGTTAACTGAAATACAACCAGACTTAATTTAACCTTAGAAAAGACTTTAAAGTTACTTAGTTAGTAGGAATTCTGAATTTATGTCTCTTGATTACTGAGACTAGTCAACAAAGCGCACTCCAATAATTCCAACCCGTGTTACTCACTTTTTGTTTTATTCCTTCACATTCCCCAGTGGAACACATGGGGCTTCAATGGAGAGGCTTGAAGGTTTTGCAGCAGTGTTTATTTTTACAAGATGGGGTCGCTAGCCTCATGCTCAGCCTTTCCTCTTTACCAGCTTTATTTGTGGCTTAGCGAGGTAAAGGAGTGTGTCGGCTGGGGATTGAACTCCGGACCATGTGCATGGTTGGCAAGAGTCCTAACCGCTGTACCACTGACGCACTATTCACTACCGAAGTCTACATTTTTTGTTATTCGAAACCTCATATATTCTATGGATCTATAATTGGTGCACACTAAGTCGTTGTCAATAAGTTGGATCGATAAGAAGACTCTAGAGGATCGGATCTCGCGGATGATTTATGTTTAATGTCACACAAATTCCAAAACCTACAGGTGAAAAACCAACAAACTGACAGAAGAAGGAGACAGTGAAGACAGGAATTCATGTGAATATAGAGAAGATGGAGGTAATGAAAATGATCAACCATCACCACCGACAACAACAAGCACCAATCACTAACAACGGGAGGTATTTGACACAGGTCACACTTCCTTCCTTCACTTATGTAAGAAGCATCATTTGAAATATAGGCGACGGCACGGATGAGGATGTCAAACTCAGAATGGAATGCTCGGGGTCTAACAATATAGTATTCGCTAATTTCTTGGATGATATTATATGTCTATCCACAATATTGTTAACCAGTTGGTTAAACGATGTCCCACTTGTCCTACTAACGGCTTTTAGTGCCTGCCCTTCTCAGCAAAGCAAAGTCTTTCTTAAGTAGTCCAGGAAAGATTAAATTAATGGGGAGCAGTAAAGGCGGAGGATGGGTAGAATACAAGAATTGACAAACTGAGAAAGCAAAGACTGCTTTATGCCAGACTGCCTAAATTTCCTAATGTAGAACGTTAAGCAAAACATCTTTCTAGTAACTAACAAGATGTGGGAGGAGGACTCAGTAGAATCGCGCTAGAGATGACAGTGTTGACATCACGCTAACATTCAAATAAAAAAATGGTTAAGTACTAACTAACTGATGCGTTAAGTAATACAATTTGATGATTCTTAAACCAGACGAAAGATTAAAAGAAGAAATGCATTATTAGCTATCCTTTGGTAAATCTTACGCCTTATTGATTATCTGTTAACAAAGAGGAGAAGAAAATGTCAATGGAAGAGAGAGAGAGACAGAGGGATTTAAATTATCATCCTCCTCCCCTTACTCCCTCTTTTTACTTCAGCATATCTCCCTTTCCCTTGTGTGTAATGCAAAAAAAGAAGAAGAAGAAACGATACTCCTTATAATCACATACGTTCATCAAAAATACAAAAAAATCATAATTATATTGGTTGTATTACTACTACTACTAATGATAATAATAGTAGTAATAATAAAGGAGTATACCTTGAATATAATTTGAATTATTAATTAATATTGTTAATCTCTGGTCCTATTTTATTTTCATTAAATGATTTACCCACACTTTATCATATAATGCGGCATAAAACTAAGCCTCAGATATTGGAGTAGTTCTTGAGTACTTCTGAGAGTACATCCCTAGTAAAATGACACACAGACATAATGAGTAGGCAGTCGTGATTTTTATAAGACGGTGCTCAGGTATTTGTTTGTATATATCAAATCCCATAGGAAACATATGTATATATATGCATATACATATAAGACTCATGGGACTCTTAAATTTACTTTTAAGTTATCACAGATTTATGAGTAGTATACATAATTTATATATAAATCATAAAGTGTATTTAATTATTGTACATTGATGATAACAGTAAAAATTAAAATATGAATTAAATTTTATTGCTTAGTTTTCAATAGTTTCTAGGGATTTCAGTATGTTTTTTTTCATATGACTTTATATTTTGCACAACTTTCCAAACTAGGACGGTGGAACCAGCTAGCTGGATTATTATTATTTATTATTTTGTCCTTTAATTCCTAGAGGAACATATAGCTTCAGTTGCACGTCTCCATTGCCTTCTGTTTTCTGCCAACTTTCTCACCCCGCTCCAAGTCTGCCCACATGCTTTCATCTCCTCTTCACATCACCTTCTCCATGTCACCCCACCCTCGCACTGACGACCAACTCGTCGCCCACTTCCCTTTCGGGTTCCACTCGAGCGATGGTCTGCCGTGTGGTGTCACTTGATGGTTTCTTCAGCGCATGACCAGCCAATCCATCTCCATTTCTTCCTGCCTATTTGTTTCGCAATAGGTTCCTGGTTGGTTCGCTCATTGCCAGAGATCCTTGTTGCTGATCTTTTCTCGCCAGCCATCTGATCTTCAGTGGTATTGAGCGAAGACAGCTGTTAATGAATGTCTGAAGTTTGTTTGAGATGCTCTTCATGATGCGCCAAGTCTCTGATCCGTATAGTAATACTGACTGACTTCCCATTGGAGTTGAAGATCTGGGTCTTATTTTTGATGCAGACTGCTGTTGACCTCCTACACACAGACTTGAGAGTAATGAAAGCTTGTCTTGCTTTTCCGACTCTGGCTTTGATATCCTCGTTAGTTCCGTCCGCCTGTAGTTGAAACGATGCTTCCCAGGTAGGTCATTGAAGGAGGTTGTTTCTTTCAGGTTCCTCCCATTCATGCTGGCTGATTGTTGTCTGTTGTTGTTGGTGATGGTGTTGGCCAGGAATCTTCATCACCTCTGTTTTATGTATGTTCACTTGTAGTCCTATCTTTGATGCTTCTTCTGCCGGGTTGTTGCTTTTCACTTGCATATCTTCCACTTTGTGGGAAATCAGACATATATCATCGGTGAAGTCCATATCCTCCAAGTATTTTAGATGATTCCATTTTATGCCTGTTTCCTCATTGCTCACTGTGTTTCTGTCGCATTATCCAATCTACTGCAATCAGGAAGATCATTGGGGGTAGTAGAAAGCCTTGCCTGCTTGCTGGATAGCTGTCCAGTACTCCAATACTGGTTTTCAGTGATTCTCTCAGTGACATCAACCTATGGTTAAACTTGGGATCAATTTCTCCCCGTCAGTTTTTAATAAAGAGTGACGATTAGAAATAATGAATTCCTGGAGAGATATTTCGTCTTCTCCATTACCTCATCAAAATGTTTAAAAGTCTAATACTTTAGGCAAAGATCACTAGACTTTAGCTTCTGACTTGATCATCATTTCATTGCGATAATCATTATCTCTCTTTAATTATTCGTTATTTAACTGCTTCGAAGCTATCATGATGTCTGTCGATTCGGTAATGAAGAGGAGTGACACGACAGTGTGCTACATTTTGTTTCGTGTAATCAGGGCGTGTTAATCCACCTAATTTTTTTTTACCATTTTTGGTATTCATTGTGAACTAAAGGATGCATCTCTGATGTCCCTTCCACATCTTGAATCTGGTCCGCTTGGTGTCGAAATGAGACGCACTTTTACTAGCAGATCATGCTCGTTTCAATGGAGGAATGAAATGATATGCAGACAGGCCAAGTAGTGTCTAATTTATCTGTCTGATGTTTTACCCTTGGCTTCGTTGCCACAGTGACAGTAAACGAAATTCTCACTAAAATTGTCATAAAAAGGCCCACTCATTTGATAACTTCATTTAGATTGATATAGCTCATAGTAGTTGATCTATGCAAATAGGCGTCAATCATATATTTAGAAACGATAACGTCAAGTGGATTTAGTCGGAAGAATACCAGACAAAAACAGAAAGCTATTTCATCCTAATTTTTTCCAGCTCTTCATAAGGGAAAATTCATCAACTCAATGAGGATCTGTATAACTTGATCTGATAAAACTTCCTTGCCACACACGCACACACACACAGTCACAAAATGCTTCAAATATACCAAAAAAAGACGATTATTTGTTGCTGGAGTCTATGGTTCTTTTCAACAAAATTACCTTAACAGTGTCATTAGACAGTCAAGACAGCATTCAAGTACAAAACAAGTACTGTAGAACAAAATTAGTTAGGAAAAATTCAACTGCAAGAAGTACCTTAGAATCATGTAGAATGATCCCAGGAAGC